AAATATGATTGTCTGGTGGGATCGGGTTGCGCTGCAACAAGGAGTAATAAGGGTGGACGGGTGGGATAGGGTTGCACGCCACAACAAGGAGTAATAAGGGTGAATGCTCATTTTGTTATTGATCGGGATCGGGATGCGCGCCGCATCATTTGTTACATATGTATTCTTCTTCTGCTGAGATTCATTATTGTGGTGTTGAAAATCTCTTAAGGATTGGTTATAGCTGAGTAATGGTAGAAAGACTAATTCCGTATTTATTTAATGCAAGTTTCTGTTCTATTTCATTACGTATTTTCTACTTGCTTTATTATAAACTGTTGCAGGATATATTGTTTATGCCCCGCCATAGCCCCGTCACTACTTCGTCGAGGTTAGGCTCGGCACTTACTAGTACATAGGGTCAGTTGTACTGATACTGCACTCTGCACTTTCTGTGCAGATTTCGGAGCTGGTAGTGGCTGATCGAGAGGTCGGTTGCTGATACTTCAGTCAGGAGACCCAAGGTAGCCCTGCAGGCGTCCGCAGGCCCTGGCGTCCCCTCCTACATTCTATATCTCTATTTTATTTACTTTTGAGACAGATGTATTCTTTTTTTTCTGACCAGTATTTGTAGTAATCTGTAGAAAGTTCGTGGGAGTTGTGACACCAGTTTCTGGGTGGTGACTGTTTCGGTTTTTTTTCTCTATTTTTTTCTGTTAATAGTATAAAGATGATCAGTTAATTATGTACTTTCGCATTTAATTCTGTTGATTTAGCTTTGTTTAGTTTTAATTATAACAAGTAAAGGAAAAAGGTGATTATAACTCTAACGTTGGCTTGCCTAGCGAGTGCGATGTTAGGCGCAATCACGGTCCCGACGGTGGAAAATTCGGGTCGTGACATGTAGTCCCAAAAGTAAATGCTCAACAGGGGATCTCTCGAGATACCGTCTCATAGTCCTAAAAGTAAATATACAAGGAGATCTCCCGAGGTATCGCCTCGTAGTCTCAAAAGTAAATATACAGGGGGATCTCCCGAGGTACCGCCTCGTAGTCCCAAAAGTAAATGTGCAGGGGATCTCCCGAGGTACCGCCTCGTAGTCCCAAAAGTAAATGTGCAGGGGGATCTCCCGAGGTACCACCTTGTAGTTCCAAAAGTAAACATACAGTTCTATCCGATGAATACAATAATTAACAACAAGAATTCTATAGTTAAGACTAATACAAATCAGGGAAAAATAGGAAATCAACTAAGCGTGCTGCACATATTTCAAATAAGCATTTAAGACATGTAGACATGCGATATTAAGCTAAAACAGGATAACTACACATGCTGGTATAACTCAATTAAGATGTAACATGTTGCTACTCAGTAAAAACCGAATTTTTCAATAATTAGACCGTGTACGCACTCGTCATCTCGCGTACACGACACTCACATATCACAAAAGTATCATAATAGTACCAAATCCTTAAGGGATTTCCCCCACACAAGGTTAGGCAAGCCACTCACCTTGAACCAAGCTCAATCAATCCAAAAGAATGCCTTTTCCACAATTTTCTAACTTTGAATGGCCCAAATGTAGCCAAAAGCAATTACATACCATAAATATTACTATAAGAAACTAAGCTAATTAATGAAATCAAGACTTTAACAAGAAATTAGAAAATCGCCCCAAAAAGTTGACCCGGGCCCACGCCTATGAATCGGGTAAAAGTCACAAAATACGAACATCCACTCACCCACGAGTTCACTCGTACCAAAATTACTCAAATCCGATGTCAAAATCTCAATCAAAACCCAAAAATTTGGTTGAAGAACTTTTCTCATTTTTTCCCGAATTTCTCCACTCAAATCCAAAATTAAAGGATGGAATAAACGATAGTTAGTGGAATATAACCAAAAACAAGTGAAGAATCATTACCCAATCGATGCCTCTGAAAATCCCTCAAAATTTCGTCCAAATCCGAGCTATCTATCTCATGTTTTGATAAAAATGGCTAAACCTTCGTTTTTGAAATGTTATAATCTGCCCAGGCATTTCCTTCTTCGCAAACACGGGAAACCCCTCGCGTTGCGAAGCAAAAAATTGGTTCAGTCCAAATTATTCATCGCGAACGCGATGACCTACTCGCGAACACGGAGCTCATGCAGCCTGACCCTACGCGAACGTGAGACACCCATCGCGAACGCGTAGGCAAATTGTCTGGAGACTTAGTAGATCAGTTTTCTCTACGCGAACGTGAGACCCTCATCGCGAACGCGTAGACTTATCACCTCAAAGCTTCGCGAACGCGGGACCTTCATCGCGAACGCGAAGCACAAATCCTTTCCTGCCTCCAGCTCCCCTTCGCGAACGTAGTACTCCCCTCGCGAACGCGAAGAAGGAAACTAGCAACTTAACACCAGATTTTTCTACAACTCCTACAAGTCCAAAACTTGTCTGTTAACCACCCGAAATTCACCTGAGACCCCAGGGACCTCAACCAAACCTACCAACAAGTCCTTATTTACAAGATCCCTTTTTAATCACGGACTCCTCACAATTAATGCATTCCTTGTATAATACTGATACAACTACTTAAGGAATCCAACTTACACACGTATTCCACTATCCCACGTCTGATCAGCTCCTTACTCTGGTCTGCTACGAACCTAGTTCATTTGGCAGCTGCATCTTATTCCTGCACACCAATTGCATAGCACATTACCTTGGAACATGAAATTTGGTTCTTTCACATAATTGGTCCTAGTTTGTTAATCATCAAAACATAATACATGCTCAACTTAACACAACTTAAAGTAAAATACATATTAATTAATTATGATTAAATGATTGAATTAAAACACATATTCATATTTATTGAATTGATATAGATATCGAGTACTATTCGAATAATCACGTAGTCAAAAAGGTGACTAATATTTATAAGTCACAAAGAAAGAAAAAATAGTCTATAAGTTTCCTTAGCTCCTTACCCTTCTAGGTCTCATGGGTCATCTATCAGCTTTTTGCTACAATCACCAAAGATAAAAACGTGTAAATATGTGTAGACATAAGAATTTTTATGGGATTAAAGTTCATACTAATTTGAATAGATCTTAAACAATGTTTTAAAAGGCGGGGGCGTGAGGCGAGACGTTTTACCTCTGACGAGGCGAGGCGTAAGCCCTGAGATATGGGGCGTAAGTCTCACGGATCTTTAAATTTTACTAATTTCAAGAATTTTAAGATAGTATAAAATAAAAAATAATTATAAAAATTACATCAAAATCACAAAATTATAACAAATAATCTATTTAAAATATTTACAAATTATAATTCGACTATGAATAATACGAAAAGTATGACATATATCATAATATGGAAATTAGTTGGAATGTCGTTACTCGTTACAACTCAAACATCAAAAGTAATGTATCCGATATGAAATCTTATACTGTATGTATCTCTTAAGGAGTAATAAATCTTGAAAGAATTTCAATATTATAATTTAATATTTTACATAAAATACTAGTTTTATTTAATATGCTTTCTATTCGAAAGAGAATTTATATAAAAACATAATTCACAATTTAAATATGATTCTCTAGCATCATCTATTTTTAAGTTTCAACAAGTTAATAAACTAACACATAATTCACCATACAATATCATGATAACTATTATATAGTAAAGACATAACAAAAGCTAATAAATAAATACTTTTGAAATGAAAGATTTATTTAAAATTTACTATCATAGCAGTCTTAGCGGATAACGTGCAATAATTTTTATTTTAATTATGACATAAAATACTCTCAACTTAATGATTTATGATTAAGAAAGAAGTAATTTGAATAGTCAACGATTCGTTAAGAAAATTTGAGGGTTTACAAGGTTAGTTACATACAATTGCATAAAGTTCTATTAGGCGAGCCCAGTACCCTGGGCGTTGGGCGTGTCCGGGGCGTAAGCCCCGGTGGCCGAGGCGTAAGTCTCACGGAACTAAGCCCCACACATAAGCCCAGGGGCGTTTTACGAGTGCTCCGCCCCGGGGCGAGCCCCGGGCGAGCCCCGGGCGAGTCCTAATTCTGCCTTTTAAAACAGAGATCTTAAATTCAAAACATAACATCCAAATTGTGGTTAATTATTTGAGTCCACTGTGGATTAAATTAAATACCACTTTTATTTGGGCTAATTCATTTAGTTAAACTCTAATATATTAGTCCATTTCATTAGCTTAGGGACCAAATTTTATCTTTAACTTAAAGCCCAGACTAATGCCACATATCAAAAACATCAAAAATATAGATTAACATGAGACATAATATAAGTCAGATCAATTAACTTGTTGTAGAGCTAATGGAATCCTGCCATATGTCGAACGATATGGCATTTCAAGTCAAGTCAATTGACCGGTCCAAGCATGCCAAGTGTAAATACATGGGATTGGTTCATAATAAGGCTGTATGGTGGGTCGGGCCCGGGCCTAAATGGGCTAAACGGGCCTAAATGAACTTCATAATTCAAACAACCCAATCACATTAATGCAAATACTTTTGTTGTATTACTACTCTTCTATTCTATATTTATAAATAGAGAGCTCTCATATGGCCAAAATGAGACAAAACATACATTAAGCAAGCAGAAGATAAAATAGAGAAGCACGGAAAAAAAGCATTCAAAATCTTCGTCAATGATCAATAATAATGCATTAGGTTTCTTTAATATTTAATTATTAAAATATGCTTATTTTTTAAATACTTTTTATATTATATATGTAATATTAAAAAAGTAAAAAGTTAATTTTTTATTATGTTTATTTATAACGGTCAAATAATATCTAAAAGTTGTTACAAAGAGGATTGAATGATATCTTTTCAAATTAATACTAGTAGTAATAATTAATTAGCTTGCTTCTCTATAACGAAAGTCGAAAAAAAAATCTCCGTAACGAAAAGGGAATGGCAAAAAGGTAAAAATGACGTTTATCAAGGGTGTATTAGTTTTGATAGAGAAAAAGTAAGCTAAGTTCTAAATACTCCGTATAGGACTCATAATAGCCATAAAGAAAAAAATAAAAAAAATTAATTCAACAATTCAATCGTTCTCTCTTGCCTTTTTTCCCCTTTCAGCCCCCAATCTCTCTATTTCTAATAATCCTCTCAATTTATTCCCCTCTCGATTTCTCCGATTATCTCTTTTGGTTTAAGGTATTTTATTATTAGCCATTTCTGATTTTTTTCCTTTTTGTTGGAGCTTCTAATTCTGATTTATGTAATTTCTGATCTAATTGTTTATCTTTTGGGAAATTGTTCGGTTTTTGTTTGTGGAAGGAGAAAAGTAATTTTTCTGAGTTTTAATTTTTCTCGAAATATCAGGGAAAGCGTTTGATTCGATTGACCGGTGAGATTTTTCTTAAAAAAAATATTTGTATATCTTTTGTATTGATTTATGTTTGATCCACGTAGAAAATTAAGCGTGTATTGTATGCTAAAAAAGTGATCTTTAGGTTAATCTGTTAGATTTGATATTTGTTATATTGGGTTTTCGTGCTATTCTGTGATGTTTTTAGGTGAAGGGTTGTTTTTTTTTTTTTTAAATTTATTTTTTATTTTTTTATAATAATGAACTGAAGGACTAAATTGTCTTAAAGTTTCTATGTTTTTTGCATATCAATATGCAGACTCAAGTGATATATAGCTAAATTTCATTGTTTTAGGTGTAATTGTGATGAATTTACTAAAATTGAGAAGTTTGGATGTTATCTGAATCATCTGAAGTACTTGTAGTCTTTATATGGTCCAGCCTTTTGCTGAACTGTGGCATTGAATGTTAGATTATGTGTTTTTTCCCCTTTTGTAATTTCCCTTGGTTAATTATTGAAATAGTGCCACTGCTTTTATATATTTTGGTTATCAAAAATTATTGAGATAGCGCCATGAGCATTTAGCTTCTTTTGTTTTGCTTTAGCTTTTTTAACGAAGTCTTTGTATCTTTGTTGCATAATTTTGAGAGCTTGTGGTGTAATCTAGGTGGAGAAATAGTTGAACTTAAGTGCATTTGGTTAGAGTTTTCGTTTGGGTTTCATTATGCTTCCCATGTAAGCACCTGATCTAACTCGGTTAAATTAATAGTTGATCTGATTGAGAAGTATTAAGCAGTTTATCAACATAAAGTTGTGGCCTGGTCTTGGATGGTCATTTTTTTTTGTTTCCGACTTACCAGCCTTAAACTCTTGACCTAATGGCGTGAAGAAAACTTCCTTGACCACTATGACAAAGAGTGACCAGTAAAGGATGGTCATTTAATATACTGGAATATCTAGGTTATACATGTGTTCTTTGCCTGCAACGAACCAGTCTCTAAATACATTCTATGGTTTAAGGTGGTAAGATAGTACTACTGTATTTGTCGAAAAATTAAGTTGTTGTATGAAGCTAAAACTCCTGGATCTTTTACCAGTTACATTTCTGTCAGTAGCAACACCCTTATCCTGTGTGGACTAACTAATGATATTCGATGCTAAAGAAGTATCATTTACTTGAAATAATTGATAGAGAAAAAATGAATCTGAAAGGCTACTAGCTCGTCACCATCTCTCGTGCTTGATGTTTTATGACTCCCTTGAAATTGTTTCAGTGACTGTCAGTTAAATGGGTATCATAGAAAAGAAATTATAAGATTGAGTTGACGGTATTATAGATATGATGTATTCTGTTGAATGCTTGATGTTGAACTCTCTCGACCTATGTGAGAAAGGTATGCCTCCCCTGGACAGAAGTTATAATTGTTTATAAAAAGAACTTTTCATTTGTCACTCTTGCCTTTGTTGCATGCCCCAAAACTGTGTCACCTTTTTGAGAAGTTGGCAGTTTTTTTCAATGCTACCCTCCCTATATAAGTTAGTTAGAACATATAAAACTTTCAACTTTTCTTATTAATTTGGTATGTTGGGAAATATGAAAATTGTATTAAGTACCTTTAGCATTTATTAAGTTGGGTAAAAAAGTGAACGTGGCAAATTGTATGGGATAGAGGAGTCTATGATAATCTACTATTGTTACAGTTGACAACAATTCAACTGTCTCCTATGTAAATCTATTTGCTAAATATTGGGCGTGTCGCTCAATCAGATGAAACAGGTAATGATCTAGCAAGGTGGACTTGTAAGAGAGAGTCTAGGGTAGATGGCACATCTTAACAGTGAGTTGACCTAGCACCTTCTAAGCATATTTTTGGGGTGTAGTATCAAGTTGCATTGTAATTGACTTGTGTTTTTCTTCAAAGGTGAAAAGCTTTAAAAAGCGCACCTCAAGTTTATTGGGGCTTTAAGTACAAAGCGTAATTAAAGTGTGAGCTTTAGTTTTAAAAAAAAGGCGCAAAGAAAAAAATAAAAATATATCTGTAATGCAAGGAAAAATTAACAAATTCATTCGTAATGTTTTCTAACATTTAATATATCTCTTTGCTGATTCTATTTATTGTTTAGCACCGTTTCAATTCAAGATAGAACTCACGGGCAAAAAGGGGCGCGCCTTAGTGCCTTGCCTACATTGAGCGCAGCTTAAGCAAATCGCCCTCACTAAGCTCTTTTGAGCTTAAGGGCTTAAGCACTCCTTAAATGAGGGGTCTAAAAATATATAAAATGGTTTCCTCCAAACTGTTACTTCTTTTTCTCTGACATCTTCTAAAGTCCGGAGGGGGGGGGGGGGTTGTCAGAGCTGCTTCTTTTCACTATTTGCCTCTATTAATTAACTCTTTCGATTATTGTGTCGAATTCAATTTATTGTTGCTATAACGCCAAAGCACTTATTTGGTGATATATTTTAGTTGGGGTTCATTGTTTAAAGTGTTCTTGTGGTCATAGACCATATATCTAGCAATGGTGCAAACAGTTAGATATTTAATAATTGCAGAGTCCCTTTGATATGGGATCTGCATGTACTTTATTGTTTCATGATGCATCGATGCACATAATGAGCTTATAATGTGGCAAGTGGCAGGCTTATAGCAGAAATGGAGTCTTCAAAAGAGACAGGTTGCCAGGCTAGAGAAGGCCCCATCCTGTGTGTTAACAACTGTGGATTTTTTGGTAGTGCGGCCACCATGAATATGTGTTCCAAGTGTCACAAGGACATGATACTGAAGCAGGAACAAGCTAAACTTGCAGCTGCATCCTTTGACAACATTGTAAATGGAAGCTCAAGCGGTAATGACAAAGAGCCTGTTGTTGCTGCTGTCATTGATGTGCAAACTGGCTCGGGGGAATTAAAGGCCGTCCCCGTAGAAGCTTCTGCAGAATTAGCCTCGAGTTCAGAGATGAAGCCAAAAGAAGGCCCAAGTAGGTGCAATACTTGCCGCAAGCGTGTGGGTTTAACAGGTTTCAACTGCAAGTGTGGCAATCTTTTCTGTGCAGTTCATCGTTATTCGGACAAACATGAATGCCCATTTGATTATAAGAATGCTGGTCGGGATGCTATAGCTAAAGCAAATCCTGTGGTTGTTGCCGAAAAGCTTAATAAAATCTAGGAGCCTTTGTTGAAGGTTATGTGAAGTGAAGCATGATTCATTAGCTTTAAGCTCTGTCCATCTCCCTATAAGTTCGCCACTTGTCTTCTGGTCTCTCTTAGATACAGATGGTATAAGGCATCAAAAGCGGAGCATCTTTGCAAGTTCATTGCAGCCCCTGTCAAGTGCTAGAATGGCTCCAGTGTGTAAGTTGTTATTTGTGCTGGTCTGGTGGACATCTTCATGCAATTTGTAATTTGTCCTCGTTCATCCTATTTCTCTGTCTTATATAATGTGCAGAATGTCTATCCCTTGTTTACTCAAAAAAAGGTTCCGATTTCTTCAATGGCTCTGACTTGTGCCCTTCATTGTCTCTGTGTTCTTGATCCGTTTGCCTACGTGCTATATGATGTTTGATGTTCTCGTGTTGGTATTTTATTTACCGAAGTCATTTCTCTTTGGAGAAATTGGCTACTATTATTATTATTAAGAAGTTGAAGTTTTGATGATATGTAGGTAGATGATATACTAGCCAGCCAACTGCACCCTTCGAAACTCGAGGATGATGGCTTGCTCCACTAGCATTCTCCGCTTAAATACTAGAGTTAGTTCGTTTGGCTCATGGCTCGAACCTATAACTTAAAAACAAGTCCCTCAACCTTTGTCAATTACCAAAGTCATTTACTTCGCGTGTTTAGGTTATCGACTCGAGCTATCTTATCTAATTACTCAATTAGAAATAATTGAGTTGCATGCAAGTAAAAGGGTAGTTTGTTGCACCAAGCTCTCGCTATGTGCGGGGTCCGGAGAAGGGCCGGACCATAAGGGTCTATTATACGCAGCCTTGCCCTGCATTTCTGCAAGAGGTTGTTTTCACGGCTCGAACCCGTGACCTCCTGGTCACATGAAAGACAAGGGTCTATTATACGCAGCCTTACCCTGCATTTCTGCAAGAGGTTGTTTCCACGGCTCGCCCGTGACCTCCTGGTCACATGACAGCAATTTTACCAGTTACCCACAGGCTCCCCTTCAAGTGTTATAAGAAAAATTTAAGCATTAACATCAGGTGATAATCAGCAACAGTTCCTTCAGTATACTTAGTCGAAAAATGCTACCTATTTTAATATAGGATAAGTAAGTCGTGGAGGGAAAAAATACAGTAGATAATAAGGTGAAAGCATATTATATTACAATATTCTCCAGTGGTTTTCTTATGTTGCACGTTAAACTATTGTGATATTGAGACACGCTAACAGTATCCCTTGTCTTTCGGGGTAAAGATTGCTTATATATCTTGCTAAAACTAATTAGATTTCTAGAAAATTGTCTCTTGCTTTTTATATCTAATCACAAAGAAAAGAAAAAAAGAAAAAGTACGGCTACATTAAAGAAAGTGCTCTTCTCAATCTTTCTTGAAAAATTTTATTTTGTGTCTCACACAACTGACAATAGTTGTGTGAGGCCTCTTTTTTGTCTCACAACTGTGTGGTCCCAGAATTTTGTGGACTCAGATGTGTAAGAGATGGGTCAACAACTATGTGAGATAAAAAGAGGTCTCATACAACTAGTGTAAGTTGTGTGAGACACAAAATAAAATCACTCAATCTTTCTTTTATTCTCTTCATGTTTTTTCTTTTTTATTTATTTATTAGTTTCCTTAATAATTTGGGTATTTCACAAGAAATATCATTTTTTATTTTGTTGTATTTTTAAAAGACTAAAATCTTATGAACGTGAAAACCACTTTCTGTTGGTACTTGGTAGTGCATTTTTAGCCCTAAAAGACGAAACTTACGTTGTTTAATTTGTTATTTAGCACTAACACTATAAAATCACAAGATTTTTCCTGCTTTGTAAAGAAGAATTAAAACACCTACATTACTACAATAACAAGTCCAACTTTTATCAAATTTGGTCTAACTTGCTTTCAATTTTGTTACGTTATTGAGGATTAAATCCATGAACTAAATAGTAACTTTTCTCCAATCAAAGAGTAGCACTCGAGCTTTTGGAAAACAAAATGATTTTAATTATAATTCAAAACTCAAAAGCATGGAGGAGCAATGGGCAACAACACCATAAATCTAAGGAGAAGTAATATACTCAACCCAGTTTAGATTATTTGTTTTTTAAAGTATTTGTACATCTTTTAAAGAATATATTTAATAATATTTTACTATAGAAGTACTATTAGTTCTTTATTTTCGTTTCTCTTTAAACGTCTTACTTCAGTAATTATAGCAAAGATAAGATTAGAAACAAAAAAGGTAATAAATAAGTTTTTGTTTATTAAATAAGAATAACCATAAAGTTTCAGATTCAAAATTTAGTGGACGTAAAAGAATATTATTTGATTTTTTTTATATGTCCTAATTTTGACGGACATAATTACTTAATACTTGTGCTAATAAAAGACAATAGGTAATCGATGAAACAATGGAAATAATCTCTTAATACTGATGATGAATTTATTTTGACGTGGCAAACAAAATCAATGGATGTGTCCCTACTTCTCCAGGTACAAAATTCACTTTACTTGTCAGCCTCTCTATTATGTCATTTGCTTTCTTCACTACAATAAGTACAATTTGATTATAGACACTAATACCTTATCCCCACTACTCCATGTGTGGTTTCTTCAACGAAGACAAAAAGTTCATTATTCACTGTTTATTTTTTTGGGACTTGGGGGGAACTGTTTTCTAGGGAATACTACAAAATAATTGCACAAATACCCATACTAAATCCCACTACTAGTATTTTTCCTTTATTAAATTACAAAAATATTTCTTCCTACATCTCAAATTATTTGTCATGATTTTTAAAAATAATTATCTTAAATTATTTATCATTTTCGAAGTTTAAGACTAAATAAATTATATTTTTTTATTTTACCATTAACAAATTGTTCTTGAAGATGGAGATAGTACTTAAATAGGGTAAATATTCAATAAAGAGAGATTATATCATAAGATATAAATAAGGGTAAAATAATCCAAACTCATTCAATAAAGAGAGATTATATCATAAGATATAAATAAGGGTAAAATAATCCAAACTCGTTCTAATTAATAGTATTTTTTTAAGGGGCGTGTAAAAGAGAAACACGATAAATAATTTGAGACAGAGGGAGTAGTTACTATTTGGAGCATATGGTACTTCCTCTGGTTCATATAAGCCTTTTTTTTTGAAGATTTTGCAGCTTTCTTAAGAAAAATATTTAATAGCATTAATCAAAATTTATCTAAAATATCTTTTGTTAAATTTTAGTTAATTACTATTTTACTAATTTACACTAAAAAAAGTACTACCAATAAATAGTAACTTTTTTTTTGAACTCAAATATTTTGAAATAAATTTGCATTGCCAAAAGACTACTTTTTGTGGGCGGGGAAGTAATAAAATATTTTTCAATAAATACAGACAGATAAGCTATACATAGTAGACAATTGAGATGGTTTAAGAAACCTTTTTGGCTACTTTCCAAAAGATTGGACAATTTCAAGGGTTGAACACAAAGTTCAAGCACTTTGACATTCTTGACTTTTGATTTGTTTATATAGAAAATCATACTCTAGATGAAGAATTTATTAAACTGATGGTAAAAGGTTCTTGTGTCATTCTTTTTCTATGATTTTCAAGATTTGCATATGCCAATGTTAGTTTAGAATTGATGGCCCCTATAAAGGGATTGACCAGTCCATGGTAATGTCATCGGAGTTGAGACTTTAGAATTTTACAAGAATTTGGAGAATCTAACCTCTTTGGAATTTTCGTTTGGAAATGTGTGCTTATATGGTCCAACTAATTAACATACATCTCGTTTCTATTAAGGAAAAATAAATGAATAAATAATGGGAAATTCTCAGAAATTACAGCCTAATACCTATATAAGCAATGAATCTATTTTGTATAAAATATATAATAATGTATAAAAATGTAGAACAATGTATAAATTTGTATTACAAGTCGTTAACTGCGACTTTTAGTTGAAATTCTAGTTCAAAACAAGTCTTCCACCAAATGACTTCAAATTTTTTAGACAACCTCCTTAGTTTTAACAAGTCAGTTTTTCTTTTATTGTTGTGAGACCTCGGTTTTATGCTATTTCTGTGAATTTCGTTATTATATTGCCTTCGTTATCATGTTTCGGCTTGCCTAGCCGGTGTGTTCGGCGCCATAACGGCGTGGCATGTGAGTTGTCCGTGCAACATGTGGATACTGATCTAGGGATGGACCAAATTGGATTTAGCACATTTCGGATTTCGGATTCTGCAAAATGCAATCTGAATCCGGTCCGAATTAATATCGGATCGGATCAATATTTCAGATTTCGGATCGGATTATACGTAATATTAAGGCTATTGCTAATTTAATCGGCTAATGCATCTGCCTTATCTACTTCTTCTGTGTTCTGTGCTAATACAAACATCTATTTGCTTTTCATCCCTTTATAAGCATTGCATCTCTAAGAAAATATTTCTCTGGAGGTACGAGTTGTTATGCCTCAAAGTTGCAAACTCATACGTATATTTTCTTTGTAAAAGAGGCAATGCAGCAAGAAAAATTCATGTTTCTGTAATTATGAAAGTACTATGGTGCCAATATAGCTAAATCAAGTAATTGTAAAGGTAATAACTTGGAGGAAGATCTAAAGGAAGTACTGACTATCCGAAATTAAAGTTTAGTATTTATACATGCCCTAATAATTTTGGATTTCGGATCGGATAAGGTTAAAATTATATCAATCCGAATCCGATCCGAATATCCGAAATTTTAATAAACATAATTCGAAATCCAATCCAAATATTCGAAATCCGAAATTGAGCGGATCGATTCGAATTTCGGATATCCAATTCAAATGAACAGCCCTATACGGATCCATCCCCCAAGGGTCACTCTCTCATATTTCTCTCTTGGTGGTATACACGCGGTTGTTGAAAATACCGATAGTGGTTTGGAATAGATATGAAAAAATTGAGGGAATCTAGTCGGTGTTTTGTTGGATTTTGCATGACAACCGCTCCAAAATTTTCATACAAATTAATTTTAAAATTCAAAGCTACTCCTTTAAACTTGTTTAACAATGATGAGTTACCTGTCTACTTTGATTTTCACCACCCAAATTTTACAAAGTTATTACTCTAATCATGATTTGAGCTTCAAACGCCAGAATTAGAGGTGGCAAAATAGTTAAAAGAAAATAGTTATCAACCCATATTATTCATTAAAAAATGGGTTGGATAATGAACATTTTAAAAACGGGTCGAAATATGGATAAGAACCATATCATCCACTTAGAAAATGAATAACCATGGATAACTAATGGGTTTAACTTTTACATTTGTGAAGCCTCAAATTGGGGACTCCTCAAGGTTGGGAGACTAGGAATTTTTCTCAAGAGTGATCATATTCAATAA